GTCAGTCTTTCGGCCCGACAAAGACTGTAGAGATTTTTTATTAATAAAATCTGTTAAATTTATTCGCCGATTTCGTCATATAATTTTCCTTGTAGTTTAAGCAATTGAAAAAGGCTTAGGTTTTAATCCGATTACAGCTAGGGGATTAAGTGGATTAGGAGTAAAGTCGCTTACACTTAAAACTCATCGAGTATCACAAGACACGTGACTTAAGGTGAGTTCAACTCCGCTTGATCGAAGACAACTAAGTTAAGTCAGCTGACGTTAAGGCGAATACACGTATTAACATACGTGTTAACGGAGCGGCGGTTTGCTCTGCATCGTGGGAGTTTGCTCTTAAATAAATTTCTCATTTTGCAGATTTATCCCCCCGTTACAATATTTTAACTCCAAACTGTATAATCCCGGATCCGGACAAAATAACATCTATAAAAAATTCAAAGAACCAACGAAAGTCAAAGAATTACAATCTTTTTTAGGCTTCATAAATTTCCATACGCGGTTCTAAAAAATTACGCAAAATTAACAATTCCATTATTAAATCTTTTAAGAAAAGGAGTTAAATTTAAATGGTCGCAGGAAAATAGAATAGCATTTCAAACGATTATTACAGCGTTTGACAAAGATATTGTGTTGACATATATCGATCGAAACAAACCATTTATTTTGATTACAGATGCGAGCGATTACGCGATCGCGGTAGTATTGTCTGAATTAAATGATGAAAATGAAGAGCATATTGTTTGTTTCGTTAGTCGTACATTAAAGGGCAGCGAAATAAACTATTTTACGACAGAAAAAGAATTAACCACAATGGTATGGTCATTGCACAAATAGCCATCAGGATCATCAGGCCGTTACATTTTTAAATTGCAGTAGATTTAATGACGCGAGAATAACTCGTTGGAGTTTATCAATTCAAGATTATAATATTTCTCTTGAGCATATAAAAGGTAAACAAAACTTTTTAACAAAATATAAAAAGTAAACGAGCGTGGATTATCTCAGTACGCAAATACATCCGAAAGCGTATAAAAACAATGAAACCGATATTATAATAAACGTGGTAGCGAAGATAGAATTAAGCAAAGGTACAGTAAAACTTTTAAAAGGAATAATAAATCATCAAAATATGGATATTTATTGTAATAAAATGAAAGATAGAATCAAAAACAACGAAGAAACAATCCTTAAATGCTATAAATTAAATAATGATATTTTATATAAAATAGTCAATTCGAGAAACAAGATAGTAATTCCAGAAATCATATTTGAAAATTTTATTACGGATGTACATACAGTATACGGGCATATCGGTCCATTTAAAATTTATAAAATGATTCAAGAGACATTATTTTATGCTGAAATAGCACAAACGAATCAAACAATTATTATGATCATGCATAATTTGTTAACTGACAAAATATTTAACAATACGATACGATAATTTAATGCAACCAATATTATGTAATAATCCGAATGAAATTTTATCTATAGATATTTATGGTCCATTTCCGACATCAACGGGCTGAGTTAAATACATTTTATTAACAATTGATATTTTTTGAAAATATGTAGTATTATATGAAATCAAAAAAAGCAAACACAATTGCAGCAATTAACAGAATTTTTAAATTAAGATTATATAGTAAAATTTGGCAAACCATTAGCCATGTCTGATCATGGCACGCAATTTACGTTAAAAAGATAGAAAGAAATATTAATCAATTCAAGGATTAAATTAATTTTTTCGTCGATCCGTCATCCTCAGTCGAATATAGTAGAAAGAATTCATAGAGAAATCAGTAGATTTTTACGATATTATGCAGAGGACGCTCATAAAAGTTGGCCGAAATACATAGATGTAATCAGTCAAATCATAAACGAAACATACCATAATATAACTGGGTACACACCAATAGAATTGCACTTTAACAAAAAATCGACTAGAATATGGGAAAAATATATTAAGATAGAGAATGTCGATCAATTACCATACGAAAAAAAATTATTTCTGGCAAAAACAAAAATACATGACTTATTAACCAAACGAGCAAATCAAAAAAATAGCAACAAAATACATAAATTATACAACGTAAATGAAAAAGTAATGTTGAAATTGGATAATGTATCAAGCGCGCAAGATAATCAAGTACATAAATTCTTCGAAGTTTATGCTGGTCCTATAGTAATAAAAAAAATCATTTCAAAAGATACATATATGTTAGCTGACGAGAATGGACGAGAAAAAGGACAATTCCACGCGAAAAACTTCAAACCATATTTTACTAATAAGGAGCGAAGTAATTGTAAAAAATTGTGAAAAAATAAAGTGTGAAAATAAAGTAATAGATAGAACCAAGCTCGTAGGTAAAATTGCACTAATGTAAAGTAATATAGGAATAAGAAAAGTAGCATACAAGGATTAAAGAAAAACATAGTAAATATAAGCAAATTGATAAGTGAGATTCATTGATATCAAACTTTAATTAACATTACGTAAACGAACATTCTTCATCTATAATTTAAATGTACTGGTATCGTTGAGATCGTCTCGATTCGAAGCCATGCTCGTGCTCGCCTGTGTAAGGGTAGAATCTTACAGATGGTCGAGAATCCATTATTGAGGAATATTTTTTATTTTTACGCGGTGGTGTTTGTGTACTCCGTGAAACGTAGTTTGTCTGAGAATACGTCCCAGATTCATAAAATCCAAAATCATCAATCTGGAACGGGACATCAGAAGCTATTTTGGTGGTATCACCAACACATGCACAATCTCTCACTACAACGGATTCTATGCACACCACAGCGATCATACAAGAGGACCTCTGTACTCCAACATCTTGGGTAAAAAATTGGTAGAGATAAGCGGTATAGTTTGAGTGGTTTCCTCGACTTTCGGCATCCTGGTATCTCAATTACCAAAAATCAACTGAGTTAGTCAGAAACTAACCCTTATTTATATCAGATAATGACAGCATGGATCGAATAAGTTTTCGTTCGAGGAGAGATTCAACGTTTACAGTTAAATTTATTTGTTTTGATACCGATCCATTCTATAATCCTTGTAGGCAACATTGTAATAAAGAGGTAAGAAATATACGATGATAGTTTGTTATATTATATTAATGCATCCACGGAAAATAGCATAATTAGAAATATCATCCGAGTTCGCTTAATTTGTTTCTCATTTTTTTTTGCGCATAGACATTTACTCTCTGCACTTTCAATTTTCTTTCGGGAGAGGGGAGGCAGTTGTAATATACAATTAACCGAACTCGATAACACAAACATAGGATTAAGAGAGCAACAATCGTAGTTCGCAGATTCATAATACGCTTAGGGAAAAATGTAAATAACAATCGCACGCGAAGATAGGATATATAAGAGCGGACGAGCTTGGAGAGGTGACTCTTACTTTGGCCATCCCAGTAAATTGACGTGACAATTTCTTCTAAGATGCGATTGACTTCGTCTTTAAACGAGAAGAATCATGTTTAAAGAATCATAATACATCCTATCCTATTGGGCCAAAGTGGAGGCAATTAGAATATTGTGCTCCGATGCCTTTCTAACCGGTAATACGTACGAGCACAATAATAAAAAACACATAAATTTCCTAAAATCTAGTTATTTGGAAATTCCCGTCGCAAACGACAAGGCTGTTCGTTTGCTTGACGGAAATCCATTTAATTGTCCTGGTATATTACATTGAATCCGCGAGAACTTCGGGTCTCAAACAACCCTGACTTACTAATAATAAGTCACAAACTTAGTAGGAGGGGGGGGGAGGTAAGTCGACAATACACAGGCCGCTTAGTAGGGGGAAGGTGAGATGAGTTGATAGTGCTGAGCTGAAGATACACACACCTCAACTCAGACACTTCAACTCAGTGAGCTGATACCCCTCTGAGTTATGGCCTCTCTAGTTTACCTACTCATTGTTTGATCTCTAGAAGTATATTTGTGGCTAACGATACATTCGTCATAACAAAAATACAATCAGCATTGGACTTGACATTATTCCGACTTTAATTTGCTTTTTCCAGCCGTGACAATCTAAAATACTTCTACTGTGATCACTGTTGTTTGGTTTCAGGATCATAACTATAAAACCATTATTCATCAACAGTCATGATTTTTTTCAGTACATTTGCATCATTAGAAATCATTTGCAAGTCGTCCTGAGTGATTTCAAAGCGAAGCTTTTTCTACTCTTTTGTGAATAATTTTAGAATGAATTTTACACACACATGGGTCATTTTCATTTTTTAGTTAATATTTCTCAATCAGTGATTTTGAGTCTTCTAATATCATATTCTAATTTATGCACAGTCAAACGGTGATCTTCTTCAATCGCGAGCCGCATAGGATCGATATTTTCTGGTATTGTTGTGCTTGATGAACGTCCGGAGAATGAATTACTGAAAATAAATTACCAGCCATCTATAAACCATTTGTACTACTCATATATCTGACTTTCACGCATACAGTCATCTCCAAAGGCCTTTTGCACCATTATTATAACCGTTTCTGCACAAGTCTTTTCAAGTTTAAAGAAAAACTTAATGTAAATCCGCTATTCGATTTTTTCGGTCTTTTTATCAATAAACAAATGCAACGATTTAAAAAAAGACTCCGTAAAGAAAACTACCCTGTATAAGATTGGAAACATCTTGACATAAATTACGGTATCGAGCGAGTTCTTAAAGAGTTATAATTAACCGTGATATCCGACAGAGGATGTTTAAGCATTCTGACGCAAAGATTAAAAGGTACTCCGGATACATTTCGGACACACCTCGTAATTGGGTAATAAAGTTCGTTATTTCTTCATATTACATTTATTTGTTTTATCAAAATAATTATTTCAAATATGATAATACTTAACCTCATTTCTTCTCAATACAAATGTTGCAAATAATCTACTCCGTCACTGCAAATATATTAAGATTCATTCTACTAATAATGAGATCTATCACATTTTTCACTTTTAGATGGAACTTCAAAATATTGATAGGCATTGTGGAGTCAGTAGCTGGATTTGTAAAGAAGTTTGCAGTTTGCTAAAGTCTATAGAAGTGGGATATTGGAATCGACGTCATTATTGTGGAAAAACTAATGAATGTTCTTTTTGTGAAGCAACAATAATATGGCATCAATTATCGCTTCAAATAATCACATATTTGATGCCAGAAAAACTGGCCAATCCTCCAGATGTAAGTATCAAGTTGATTTTTATATTTTCTGGATATTTAGCAAAATAATTATTTTTATGCTATAATACATATGCGACATTTAACTGTATGGTCTACGTCCAAGTTGTAATCTACTAACAGACAAAATAACTTGTTGGAGATATCCAACTTTGGCTATTATCCCCATCACATATCTGCACAAATTATTCTAATTGTAAGTAATAATATATATCCATACAACTATGGAATTATATCCACACAATATGCATATTCATGCAGTAATAAACGTAACTACTATTTAAAAAAGAATGAGGAACAGAAGAATAAATCAAATGCAAATATTAACACAATATAAAAAAAATTGTTATATCGCTTAGGAGTGTATACAATAACCGTGCTTTTACTGTGTTAAAAATATCAAATTTTGTGATAACGAAGCAGCATTTACGGGAAGTTTTACTTTTCTGCTCTAATTGGAAAAAAGCGCAACTGAAGTCCATCGAATGCTTGTGAAAGCTTATGGTGACACTTCTCCAACAGATAAATCATGTAGGAAATGGTTTAGATCTTTTAAAGATGGAGATTTCAGTATTGAAGAAAGGCTCCGTTCGGAATAGCCAAAGAAATTCGAAGACATAGATTTAGAAACATTATTTGATGAAGATCAAAGTCAAACGCAACAGGAACTTGCAGAATCATTCGAAGTAACTCAATAAGCCGTTTCTGTATGACTAAAGGCCATGGGCATGATTCGTAAATAAGGTGAGTGGATACCTTATGAACTCAAACCGAGAGACATTGAAAGATGATTATTCACTTGTGAACAGTTTCTTTAAAGGTAACGGAGAAACGGTTTCTTGCATAGGATAGTAATAAATGACGAAAAGTGGATATTCTATGACATCTCCAAAAAAAAAAAATACTATGCTAAGCCCGGACAATCGTTGCTATCCACCTCAATATCAATACCAAAACCAATCCATAGTTCAAAAATCATGCTGTGTATCTGGTGGAATTTGTTAAGCTTCTTGTGCGCATGTGCGCGCACGCATACTACGCCACCTTCGCTGAGCTCAACTGCCGCGAAAACTAGCGCGGCATTCCAACCGTGATCACCTTTGGTGTTAGAGCTCCTGACATTATTAGAGTATCATTAGAGTATTATTATTGTAAGAAAGATTTAAATAAAATAACTCTGTACTTTCCATTTTTAACTAAAAGCTAGTGTGTGAATTAATTTACTTCGATCCAAAATTCCAACAGGTTATCGGCCCTGCGACGCTTCCACTGCGTAACAAATAAAACTTATAGAGGTATGTCAATTGAATTATTAAAGTGTTACAAAATAAAGAAAATCATTCGCTTAAGCTACATGAGCTCGCGACAAAGAACAACGAAACATTCTCCTTTCTGTAGTAGCTGGAGGCTCTACAAACAAAACAAAGTAGAGAAACAATAGTGAAATACTAACACAGAATTAACACTGCAACGAAAAAGAGAATATAAGTTGCCGGAATCGCGATAGAGATAGAGATAGTAACAGTGAGTCAGCATTACAGAACAAATAAAAATAATTAGAGAATAAACAGAAAAGTGCGGTTTTTCTGTCGCGTTCGTTTTTTTAAGAAATAAAGTGATAGAGAAAGTGAATAAAATTATACGTCAATTAATTAAGATTAGCAAATGAAAATTAGATGCATTCCGTGAGTGACATAACATATTTCGCGAATTATAGGTGAATCAAATATCGATGTCAAGTGTGACATTTGAACAAAGGATTCGACGCCATGACACCCGGCTAAACGTGAGCGAACAAGAAAGCACGCAACAAATATACCATTCCGCACACGCGCCAAATAGAAAGAGAGAGAAAGAGTGCACGCGCAACGAAACGTTAGAGAAAGGGAAGGAGAAAATATAGAGAGTGCACACTACTAAGGTGTGTTCACAACGATAATTGTGACACAACCTAAAGCTTACAATTCTGGAGCGACTTGTCAGACACCAGGTAGTGACCCGGTATGGAACTGACTGCACGTATGACATACATGCATTACAATTAAAATAAAAGAGATACTATATAATGAAATATATAAACTCAATATCGAGAGGTAAGATTTCACTCGAGGGGAGTGTGGACGTATCTTGGATGTGAGCGCGAGTTTTGGTGAGAAAGTTAAAGAGGAAAAGTGTTTGAGGAGAGAAATAGAGGTGAAAAGAGCGTGGAGGCGGAGGAGGAGTGGAGAAGAGAGAGAGAGGCCTGGAGAAGAGCAGGAAAAAGCAGAGAGAGAGGAATAAAAAAAAAAATAAAAGTTGAGGTTAAGAGAGAAAATCAGAAAGCGGGAAAGGCAGGCAGAGAGGAGGGGCGGTAAGATGTAAAGGCAGAGACAGAAAAGGTAAGACAGGGAATAAAGGTGGGATCACGGATAGATATAGAGAGTCGAATTAAGGCGTACGGAATAGGATGGAAAGATTTGTGACAACAGAAAAATTAAGAGATAAAGGTGGAAGGTTGGATAAGAAAGGCCCAGAGGAGGAAAAGAAGAAAAGAGTAAAGGTGGTGAGGGGGAGAGAGAGCGGGGAGGGGCTGAGGGAGAATAATCGAGGAGAAATGAGAGAGGCAAAGAGATGCAAGAGTGAGAGCGAGGGAAGCGAGATGGATGGAGAGGGGGGAGAAGGATTGGACAACACGATAAGAGAAGTGGGAAAAAGTAGTGGTGCAGAAGATATAATGGAAAAGATACGGACAGACATAAGGGAATTAAGAGAGGTATGGAAGGAGGAAAGGAAAGAATGGACAGAAATGTTTAAAGAAATAATGGGAAAAATGGAAAGAATGGAGGCAGAGGGGAAAAGAAGAGAAGAAAGGTGGGAGATGAAATAGGAAAAGTTAGGAAAGAACAAGAGAGAGAGAGAGAGAAGAAAGAAAGAAAGAGACGAAAGAAGAAAGGGAAAAAGCAGAACGTAGAGAAAAGAAACTGCAGGAAAAATGGGGAGAGAGGATGAACCAGTTGGAAGAGGAGTATATGAAACTAAAAGAAAGCATAGAAGGAGGAAACAAGAAGCAAAGAGGAACAGAAGTAGGCAATAAGGAAGAATTAGAGCATATGAGAGAAAAAATGGATAGAGAAAGTAGGATAAACAATATAATAGTGACAGACTTAGAGGGTGAGTTAAGATGGGAAAAGAAGGGAGAGGCAGAGGTCTGGTTAAGGGAGGTACTAGAAATGAAAGGAGAGATAGTGAATCTGAGAAGAATAGGAGGAACAGCGGAGAGAGATGATCGGAGAGAAAGAAAAAAAAACATGTGGTAAATTAGATGCGCGTCATGGGAACAAAAAGAAGGAATTATGAAGAAGAAAAAGAATCTGGCACAGAAAAAGATATACATGGATCAGGACTGGTCGTGGAAGCAGAGAAGGATAAGAGAGGAAGTAAGAAGGAAAGCGAAAGAAATAAGAAGTAAAGGTAAAGAGGTAAAGATGTGGCATAACGGGGTGAAATCAGAGGAAGAAGAATGGTGGTGGAGCGAGAGAGAGGGAAAAATGGTAGGAAAGGGGGTGGAAGGGTTTCGAAAACAATAGGGATAAAATAGAGAGAGAGGGGAGAGAAGGGAGAGAGGGGAGAAAGGCAGTAAAAATACTATTCTGGAACGTGGCGGGCGAGAGGAGCATGGAGAAAGACGACTGGGAATATGTTAGGGAATTCGACATAATAGGGCTGACGGAAACCTGGGTGAAGAGGCAAGGGGCAAGAACTGGTGTGGAGAAACAATTGAAAGGGTACAGCATAGAGTGGAGGGACTCAAGAAGGGAAGGAAGAAGGGGGAGAGAAATAGGGGGAGGAATAATGGCGGTAAGAGAGAGGAAAGGGATGAATAAGGTTGAATGGAAGAAAGAAAGGACAAGTGAGGAAATAGTAGGAGAAATAAAGATCGGAGGGAGGGAATACATGATAGCATCGGTGTATATGCAACATGAGAAGAAGGAAAACTATGAATACCTAAGTGAGGAGATAGAGGAGAAAAGAGGAAAAACAATAATTATAGGAGGAGACTTCAACGCAAGAACAGGAAACGAAGGAAGGGAATGGGAGACAGAAGAAAACCTAGAAGAAATTAAGGCCAAGGATAAAGTGTTAAACGCAGAGGGAGAAGAAATGATAAAATGGCTAGGAGAAATGGGCTTAGTGATAACGAATGGGAGAAAAGATGGAGATGAAGAGGGAGAAATAACATATATAGGAGCGAGAGGAATGTCAACGATAGACTATGTAGTAGGTAACGAGGAAGGTGATAAAAAGGGTTCAAATAAAGGAGAGGGTAAAGTCGGGCCACTTACCAATAGAGGTGGAATTGGGAGACAAAATAGCGGAAGAAAGAAAAGAAGAGGAAGAAAGAATGATAGACGACTGGAGCGAAGAAGGTATAAGGGAGTATCAGAGATGGATAGACGCAATAGAGGTAACAAATAAATGGAAAGATATAAAAAATAGAGTGAAGAACGCAGTTGTAAAAAAGAAGATAAGGAAAAAAAAAGGATCAAAAAAAAGCTGGTCGAGAAAAGAATGTAAGGCAAAAAGGGATAGGGTGATGGCAGAGTTAAATAAGGTAAGAAAAGGGGAAGGAGACAGAGGCAAATACTTAGAAGCAAAGAGAGAATACAGAGAGGAAATAAGAAAAGTAAAAGAAGATGAGGGGAAAAGAGTGGCGGAAGAAATAAGAAAAGATAAGACGAGAAGAAAATTCTGGGATAAAGTGAATGGCAATAGGAAGAAAAGAATTTGATTAGATGAAAATATAGGAAAAGAAGAATGGATAAAGCACTTCAAGGAACAATTGGGAGAGAAACAAAAGGAAGAAAGCAAAGGGGAAGAAACCGAAGACAGCGAAGGAACAATAATAGGGAAGGAAATAAGGGAAATAGGAGGAAAACTGTTCGTATTCTTTGCAGACATGAAGGCCGATTTTGATGAAATAAAGAGGAAGAAAATATGGGAAACAATGAAAGAGAAAGGGATAA